GAGACTGGGACAAACAAGTCTGGCTCTTCCTTTACAGTTATGGTTGAAGCAAAGGGGGACAGCCAGTTCCCCAACTGTGAGCTTTCCTCTTCCTTAATACAGAGTGCCTCAGGGAGAGATGATGATTCCTCATCAAGCTGACAGTTGTTCTCCTTCAGAGAATGTGTTGGGGAAAAAAATCCTTCATCAAATTGGCTCTCCCCCTTGGCCGCAGCCATGGGTAAAGAGGATGACTCTTCAACAGAGAGCGACATCTACAAAAAAAACAAGTGACATGCAGTTAGTAAACAAGAATCGTAACCACTCAAAATGCAAATGACAGTGGAAGATAGAGAAGAAAGACCAGCAGCTATGGACAGTAGGACAAGTAGAATCTTCGTAGTGAGGTAGCAATAACAACAGCTAGAGATTGATCTGCCTTTGACATTGACACAGACAGATCTACAGATCATAATGGGAAGGATCTTCTAGGATAGGCAGCCGAACATTTCTGTGTTTGATCTTCCTCACACTATTTATGTATACAATAACAAAAAGAATTAGGTTATACTTCATAGAAATCAAGGAAAAATAGAAGAATAAGAATATTAACAATATCAAAAGAAAAATGCACGGGGGAAAAGAAATCATAGGAGGAGAGAATATAAATGAGCAGATGCATAAAGGAAAACAGGATCAATGTTAGAAAGAATGAAACAAGATGAAGCCTAACAATGCCTAAGTGTCTGAGACAGTCACTGAGACACAAGGAGAAAGATCTGTTCGATTATGTTTTTTTCTTCAGCTCAGAACACCAAGGAACTCCGCAAAATTAGCAAAAAGCATTTATTAGAAGTCTCTAGGAAGATGTTATACTTGTAAATAAATGCTCTTTCAGAAGCAATGCCTTATAACATGGCTCCTTAGAGCTATAAAAAAAGTATCTGCATGTTTCAGGGGTAGAAGAAAGCCATTTCCTCTAGTCCTATTCTTTTAATCTGAGCAGGGAAGAAACATGGTCTTGACTTTTCAACCCAGAGTGAATTAAAGCAACATACAGACTATATAATACTATATAATACATAATAACATACTATATAATCAACTAGCAGGTATAGTCACAATACAGACAGAAAAGGAAAAGCAAGAATTGTCACCTAGCCAGAAGCTTACATGCATGGAGGACTCAGTAAAGATGCAAAAAAGAACTATGTGAAGAACACAGTCCATGGAAGAAAATAGCTACAGAGAAAACAAACCAAACAAAACACAAACACTCATTCCACCAGTCCCCTACAAAGAAGGAAAGAAAACAAAAACAAAGAAAACAACCTTTGGAGCAATGCGCACACGTTTATTGCTCCGGAAGGTCTCTGAACTGTTGTGGGATGCTCCCTGTACCGCAGATAGAGGAACCTTCAAAGAAGGTTGCAAGACAAGAGGCTGACTCATTGGAAACTGGATCGGAACAAGGTAGGAGTTGATGCGAGGAAGCAAAGGCTTCATCTTTCGTCCTGGAAGAGAAAAGAATAGATTTGCTAGCCTTCTACCCTTCTTTCACCACATATGGAGAACCAGACACCTAACAGGAAGTACTTCTAAATACTCCCAGATAACCATTTGATCAATTACTTTCATTTGCCTTCTTTGCTAGTTTTGAGGATACCAAGCCAGAAGCCCTGATGAAGAGCGAAATATGGCCTTCCTTAATAGGTCCTAGATCTCAAACTGGGGCAAGCTCTATTGTCACTCGGTTTGAGCACCTAGTTCCCTCCATCTTTCTATCACATCCTCTCTCAGAGACAGCAGCACTACTTTTAGCTCCAGAGCTGAGGGATGGGAGCAGCTGTAGGAAGCCTTTAAGCAGGCAAATCTGGATAACAGTTAATAGTTTTGTACCTAGAGAAATCTGTGAAAGTATCTGAAATTTATGGGAATTATTCATTTTAGTGTAGCCTGAAGTAGACACTCACGTGCATTCTGGGGTTCAGTTTTGCTGCTACTGTTGCTTCCCGTGTTCTTCTGGGGATCTGGAACATGTTGCTTTTGCTCCTGTAAGCATTGTGAAATAAGAAAGAGGAGAGAAAAGAATAAAAGAATTCATCTTTGTTCTACTGCCTTGTTCAGAACTGCAAATCAGAAGTCAGTACTGAGCTAATACAGAAAAAGCAGCCGTTAGAGCCAGCATGAGTGCTGGGTGTTATCTCTGTGATACTTGCTGTTTTACAGCCATGCCATCTCAAGGCTAGCTACTAAAAATCCACATAGAAACAGAAATGGTACCACAGAGCTGCTCTAACAACAGACTCTGCTGTAGAGCTGACCTTGTTTGGGTGTCCTCAGTGCAGAAATGTGATTAGCATACATTTATTTGTATATTTTATCTCTATACAAACCATAGACCTGAAAATCAAGCAGAGGCACCAGAGAAGGCAATGGTCTAAGAAGAAGGAATGAGGCCCAGGGCTGTAGTGGTGACAAATAGTGTCTGATTAAGTCACTGAAAATACATCACTGTTAAAACTGAGTTCAAGAGACAGCAAACAGGTTTATCCTTCACAGTACAGCTGGCTTCCAAAAGTTAAAAAGGAGCACAGAGAGATCCTATTCTCCCTGATTTTGAGACTCAGAACAGACTGGGGCTGCTTCCACAGAGGTGAAGATTGTACCTGAACCCTCTGTCTCAGCTCTCTCTGAAGTCCCAGAAAGCTTCCCACTGCAGCCTATTTTAGCAGTAGACTTCTAGTTGCTCAAAACTGTACAGCTCTTGCCAGCTGTGGACAGGACATATAACTTGAAGGTAATTAGCCTGACTCCGCTCCCCAAAAATGGGTCTGCACAGAGCTGTACAATCATGTGCAGCAGTGATTCTGTCCCCCTCCCCAAATCTCTTATCTTTTTCTAGCAAGAGGAGATTAGAAGTCCAAGGCCCAGGCTAGAGTCTTACTGATTCAGAGTGCTCAGACGATGTTGACCCCAAGTCCAGCGGCTAGTGGCAGCAAGGCAGTGAGAAGAAGAAAAATAAGAGGAAATTACCAACAATAAAAAGGGACAAATTAATCTAGCATAATCTGAGCAAACCAGAGAATGAATCTGCCCTCCCATCGCACAAAACATAGAAGAGACTAAACACATCTTAAAAAAACTGAAAATTCTCCTAATTTTCCAGCTGGGATAGAACAATTCCATCTTATGAGTGTCTAGTCAAACAACAGAGGAAATACTGATCTAATTCAGTGGAAAGCTCTCATTAGAAATTTGCAGCAGTCCTATGGAAACAGGTCGAACAAGCTAATACATTTGGCGTGATACCTGAAGAATGAATGCATCCCAAAGAAGCTCCAGCAGCAAAAGCCACAGCACCCTTTTCTTTTTTCCTCCAAATACAGAGATCATCTATTTTTTAGAAGAAGCAACTGAATTTAGCTTTTACATAGAGGCTGATGCCACTGAATATTAACTATCCTTTCAAATTAAAGTGCATCTGTTTAGTGTGGCATTTAGGGACTGGATAGGCTGTCCCATTTTCTTTGCATAAAGCATTCACCTTAAACACTTGGTCCAATGTTAGGCAACGGTTGGCATCAGGGTGAATAGTCCAGAATGAGATTTTACCATTAGCAGATGTCTCACGGACAAACATATCATGGAGGGACAGGTTATGCCGAATAGAGTTCTGTGGAGAAAGGAACAAGGAGGAAGTTGAAAAACAGCATTTTTGTTATCAGCACAGAAAGGTCCATCTCAAACATGACTGTCCTAACAAAAAGATTCCATTCCAAAGCCCAAAGTGGGCATTCTTATTCACTGCAAACTCAGCCAACTCTACCATTAAGTCTCTTATTCTCTTTATTCCTAAGATCCTCATTCTTACTTCAGTGATCAAACATCTCACCACCTTGCCTAAGTGGAATGAGAAAAAGAATAAAAAGTTCAAATATGGAACATTTGAAAGGAGAGGATATTTGGGGTGGGGTTTTAAATTAATTTCAATCTTGCTCTGCAGGCTGGGAAACAACTTTTCATTTTCAGCTGGAAGGCTTATGATAGTTTCACCCTGTGGCCAACTGGAACTTGAAGGCCTGCTTGTTACCTTCCAACCTGGCTTAGCCACATGCTTAAAATATGGGAAATGATCCTCAATCCAAGTATAGATGTCTTTCAGAGTCATACGCTTCCTCTCAGTGCTGTTGATGGCAAACTGGATCATGGCCATGTAGGAGTATGGAGGTCGTTCTGATATTGAATCCTGCCATGAGGAAGAAGAGGAGGGAATGGTAACAGCAGCAGAATCTTCAGTCTGAGAGACAGAAGAAACAATTTATGAGTGCTTGAATAGTTGACAAGAGCTGGATATTCCATGTACTGCTATTTAAATTGGTAAAGGGAGTTCTCAGATTATTTAGAGATTGTCACGTCTAGTTCTTGCAAGTCTTCTAATCCAGATAGATTGCATCCTCATCAAAAGTTTTAGTGTATACTGTTGTTCTCTCCTACTTACCTTGATTCTTTCTTGCAGAGGCATCTGGTTCTCTTTCTCCATGCCTTGCTTCACAGAACAGGGAGTTAGTCCATCAGTTTTCATCTTCCCCAGCCACTGGATGTTAGTGAGACTATTATCCAGCACAGAGCTCATTGTCTCACCACTGCCTGTTGGGAAAACAAGCCCAAAGCTCTGCTTATTTACAAGTAACCCTCTTCCTTCATCTCAAGTGGCAAAAGGAAAGTACTAACACATACTTTTTGAAAGGGTATCCCTGAATCAGGATAGGAACAAGATGGTATTGCAAAGCTAAAGCTTCTGTATATACTTTGAGTTCCTGATTGCATGTGCACCTACCCAATTCCTGAAAAAAGCTGTAACATTAAAAACAAAACAAAAACAAAAACAAATCATAACATTCAAACCAAATGATTGTTCTCAACCAAAACAGGAAAGCGTTGACTCCAGCACTTTGAGAATTCAAACATTTTTAGCTAAAGGATTAATTAAGTAAACAGAAGTCAAGGAAAGTGGCATAAACTCCAACCTAGCACACAATCCAAGTAGCAATCAAAAATTCTTCATGGTTTTGAAAATCAACAGTAGAAAACTAATGTTTTATTGTTTATGGTGGGGTTGTTTTTAGTAATATAACAACTGGAGCTACCTACGGGTTCTTCTCAGACAGCACTATCCTGTGGGATAAGATTTGCTAAAGCCCAGATCTAAGTAGCTGTTTTAAATTCCAAATACAAATATAATCTGAGAAGCAAGTCAAAGTAAAATCAGTCCAATTTCTAACATTTGCCCACCATCTTCAAGAGACAGCCAAGAAGAAAACACTTGCTACTTAGTTATAAAAGAGTCTGAGTCATTTCTCTTTCAAAGGTCTAGGCCCCCTTTTGTCACTAAGGCACTCCATTCCTTTGCCTCATATTTTGCCTCATATTTTGTTCTTCTAGACTAGAATTCCCTCCAACTCACCTCACTTCTTTTTATTCAGTACAGAAATCTTGCTTTTTTCAAATGCCAGGACTGTTTCTTTCAAAGTATATCCACCAAGATCCCTCAGATTCCATTACATATGCACAGCTACTTTGTAGTTAATTGAATAACTTTCACTGCTACTGAGATCTAAGTGCTCTGCTCATTGTCCCAATTTGCATCTCTTTATCTTTAAGAAGGAGAAAAAGGTAAGGTTTACATACTGTTCTCCTGTTTCTGTGCAAATGCAGAATCAATTCCTGAATGCCAGACCATTGATCCTCCTGCAAGATCGGGTGTCTGTGAAATACTCTTCTCTCTTACTTGACTATTTGAAGACCTAGCCACTGCGCCAGGTTTCTCCACTGAGGGAAGGTGCTGTGAAAGTATCAAACCTGCTGAACAAGAAGTTCCCCCACTGCTAATGAGAATGAACTTATTGGGCCCATTGTTGCCACATTCTTTTCCTTTTACTGTCAGGGCCTCTATGATGCTCTGGATATCCGCATTTGTAGGGATAGCCACCACTTGCGTGTTGGGCATGGTAGGATGGTTCATTATCTTTATTCCCGCTGGAAATTTCTGCAGGCCACAGTCTATTTTGTCTCTGCATTGGCTGTCCTTTAGGTCCTCCTGACTGTGCTCCTGCTTAGGTGTCTTTTCATCGTGACCACTGTTCTCATCTCTACCTGAAGTACTGGATACCTCCTTCTGTAGAAGGGTCAGTTTCCTTCTTTTGAGAATTAAGGGCCTGCGAGGGCTGGTCCTCATTATTTATCTGTACAGTTACTCTCCATTGAAAATGAGAGGAACAAGTCCTGCAAAACAAAAGATACAGCATAAGTGCACAGACAGTAGGAATAGATAAAAGAGGTCAACAAATACATCACAGGTCTTTCACAGTGCACATGTTCTCAGCAATTTCCATGCTGCTAGAAAACAGAGAAAGAAAAACAAAAATGAAAGTTTATAATAAGATTGAATAGGCTACAGGAAAATATACTTTACCTCTTTTATCAACAACTTGTGGAAGCATGATATGAGAAATATTTGCAGAGTAAATACTTGCATCAGAAGCTGAGAGCCATGATGTATCCTTGTTAGGAAAGCATGTGCATCTGTATATCTAAAGGCTGAGAGAGACCTGAGACTTTTCAGTCTAGAGAAGAGAAGGCTGAGAGGGGATAACTATTTATTAATACCTAAAGTGCAGGAGTGAAGTTGATGGCGGCAGACTCTTTGGTGGCAACAACAGAACAAGGGGCAACGGGCAGAACAACAGCAAGTTCTACACTAATAGAAAGAAGAGCTTGTTTACTGTCAGAGTAACACAGTACTGGAATAGGCTTTCCAGAGGCATTGGGGAGTCTCCTTCTCTGGAAATATTCAAGACCTGTCTGGAGTCTATCTGTATGAGGAACCTGCTTTAACAGGGAGGTTGGACTTGATCTACAGAGGTTCACTTCTAACCCCTACAATTCCATGGATCTGTGAAATCATTTTGCTTTTCTTCACTATTATTCCTTAGCTCTGTATTTATCTACCTCTAATTTCTCAGACCTAGAGAAATAGTTTCCTCATTCTAGTCCGCTGTTTATAAATATCTGAAGTATAGAAGTCAAGTAAGTGGAGGCAAACTCTTATCAGCAATAGAACAAGGGGCAACAGGCAGAAACTGGAACATAGGAAGTTCCAGACTAACACAAGGAAGAATTTCTTTACTGTGAGAATGATGGCACATTGGAACAGGCTGAACAGAGAGGCTGTGGAGTCTCCTTCTCTGGAGATATTCAAAACCCACCTGGATGCTTCCCTATGTGAGCCACTGTAGGGAACCTACTTTAGCAGGGAGGTTGGACTCTATGACCACTAGATGTTCCCTCCAGCCTCTACAATTCTGTGGTATCTGCTTTACAGAGAGGGATGCTAATACTTAGCTGTGAAGTGACTTGACCAGCACTAGCCAGTAAGCTGGAGGGGTGAGAAACCAGAATACAGAAATAGCACTCTGCTGTAAGCAACAGGTCACAACCTAAAAAAAAAAATATGGATTTAAGAGCTGGCACAAGATGTGGAAAGCAGAAATTGCTCTGAACATTAAAAGTATACAATACAAGCAGAAGTTAGGCACTTCAAAATAAAGGCAAAGTAAATGCTTTAGTCATTCCTTCTGTAGATTTGTGTAGCACTAGATAGATTCATGATAGAGCAGTAAACAATTTAAATTTCAAATTTTGGGGTGGCAAATAATTTAGATTATATAGTGGAAAGGAGTGGAGGTCAAATCCAGATACTGCTTTCAGGGTAAAAAGCTGAGAACATCTTCTGAGAACAATACTTATAAATATAATGCCATTTAAGAATTAGATGTAGAGATTGCCTCTTGCAGCAAGCCACCAGAGAAGAGAAAAAAAAGTTACACTTATTGTTATCACTGGGGATTGGCAGAACAAGGTGGGCAGAACAAAAACAAACAACAAAAATGGCATTTTGCATTAGTAGATTTGACTGGCTTTTCAAAAAATAAAGCTCACAGTAAGAATCACCTGGAAAGACACAAAATGGAAAATATCCATTAGATGAACTGTTCTATGAGCAGAAAGAATTGGGTGCAGATGCTGCACAGCAGCTGAAGGCCAGAAACAGAAACATACATGCAGGCTGTAGCATTCAGGGACACACAGAGCCTTTTACCAGGTTTACAAGGCTCACTTACAGGAAGGTCTCAAGACAACAACAGAGGCGTAACTGTTTTCCAGCCCCCAGGAAACCGCACTCTCTAGAGGAACAAATAATTTCCTAAACAGGCCAAAGGCTGTTTTCAGCAGCAGGAAGTAACACGAGGTGCACACAAGTCCATAGAACTATGAGAACGAAGCAAAAAACAGGACACTGAAGAGCTAAGCAAGTACCCCCTCAAGCCTACGTCACCCACTCCAAACCTCAACCCTCACCTCCCCGGACTGCCGGGTGCTGCTAGCCCCGACGCCCTCGACAGTGAATCCCTCCCGCTCTCCCAGGATCCCTCCATCTAGGTATTTGCCTCTGAACTCTCAGAGCAGACCTCACTGGGCAACCCAGCTCCTCACGGGGAAAGCCCAAGCAACGGGAGATCACAGTACAGCAAGAAATGAACGCTGAGCCTACAGTCGCAACTCACCCCCTCCCCAGCCGTGCAAGAGACGCGCAAGGAAAAGTTAGCTTCAGGACTTCCGGTCGCGGTCGCCGTCCTCCCCCTCCCCCACCCCCTCCCCCCAGTAGAGATAATTTCCCCGTTTGAATTTGGCGCCTGACGGTTCCTTGGTATCACGTGCCGGCCCGGACCAGTGAAACGCAGCGGTAGGCGGGGCGAAGCGAGGCGGACCAATGGGTGGTTGCTAAGTAGGATAGGGCTCTGCCTGGCCGCCTGTAAAGAGCCTGGTTTGCGTGGTTTAGCGGAAGAGGTTGTTATTAGGTTTGATAGTGGTGGGTCATCTGTTTCAGTAGAGGTTATCTGACCCGAGCCTGAGAGATTCCAGCTTTACTGCCAAGTTTGGCTCTTGGTGCGTGCATTCGTGTTTGCTGCTGGAAGGAAAGAGCAGCTTCAGCGGCCGTCCCAGAGATCTTCAGAAAAGAGCGTCTGGACTTCTCTGGTTTGTGAATATTAAGGCTGTATCTCAAAACCTTGTGGGATCTGCTAAGGGGGCTGTTAAGTTGTTTTGATAATGTATAGTAAGCAGTTAAGACGTTATTAGTTTTATATCTTTAACAAGAAAATGTACTTCTTACAAGGTATTTTCTTTAAAATTGCTTGACTGTGTCAATCTGCTTCTAAATGGAAAAAAAAAACTTAAGTTTTGAATTCAGTTTTGAATATAGTTGGTTCTATATTTCTGTATTTTACTTAGGTCATATCAAATATGGATGACTTCCAAATTATTTCTAAAATATTTTTATGAAAAAAATCCTATGAGTTTTTTTATGGCTTGTGTATGCATTTTCATAAGGAAATAATATCTTCTACAATGTTTTGCCTTATTCAAAACACTACTTCAGGACTCCTTTTGCTGCTTAGACACTTCTGCTTCGTTTGTATAGTGGTATACCACAATGTATTTGGCTATGCATTCTTGAAGCTTTAGAGCGCTTAACTACTCATTCTACTATGTATATGCTAAATCTGCCTGGAATTTGATAAAAGATGTAAAAATTACTGGTAAGTAACAGTCTATATGGGGATGTGTATGCAATGTTACTGTATTAGTGTTTTGTTCAAAAACTTTATTTGAGGTTTCCAAATAATTGTTGAAGTCCATTTTCATTTGTTTATCTTCAACAGATTTGAGGGTGCTTGACCATCTTCTCAGAGTGCTTTCCTCTCCTTCAATTGGTTCTAGCAAGCATCATGAGGTTTCAAAGTGGTTTTGTCATATTGTCTGATGCCTCCAAAAAAGAAGTGTACCTGCAAAACTAGAAAGGGAAAGCTGGTATTCCTTGAGAGGCCATGGGAGGGACCCATCCATTGCTGTGAAACTCCACTGTATGTGGCTGAAAATCCAGTACGTGTTTCTACGAAGCCTGTAGACCAGAACACCTCTGCTGCCTGGGTTGGTATATGCTATCAATTTCTCTGTGTCTTGCAAAAACAGGTTTTTTAATTTTCTCCCACATCGCAACAGACTTTTATGTCCTTATAAGGAAAGTCAGCAGCATGGACCTGAATTCATTATAGAGGCCTAAAGCATAAATAAATGCATATGAGTTTCTTCACATTAAAATATAAAAAATAAAATCCTCTGTATTTGAAGGTATAAAACTATAGTGTGTATAGACCACAGTTTCTATTTGTCTTCTGAAAAACTAATTCTGGTGAAGAAGAAGCTTGCTTTCTATGGCAATTGAAGATCCTGCACATAAATAAAAAAATTTCTTTTAAGGAAATCTTTTGCTGCTCAAATTTGCTGAAATCTAAAAGTTACCTGTTTAAAAACATGTTTTGTTTAAATATGACGCTACTAAATTTAGGGAACAGGGGTCTTTGCTTCAGAACTACTTATTTTAAATTGCCATCTCTTTCATTCTGTGTGTTTTGAATAGTTCCTCTCTCCTGAACTCCTTTTATAGTCTAAAGAATGTTCCAGGGGCTGGTTGCGGTGTCCTAAGAGTCCATATTTTATATCTTGTGATACAAAATTCCATGTTTGCATTTGTTTTTGTTTTTTTAATAAAGAAAATGGGAGCTGCAAAGGCAGACTATTCCTATATAACAGTAGTTACCACCTAGGGGAGTTCTATTTATTGATCTTGTTTATACAGTAGACTCAAGTGTGGTTTCAAACCCATATGAAACATTCCTTTAGCCTTTAAGATAAAAGGGGATAGCTTCTTTAGCAGTATCTTCTGTGATAGGACAAGGGAAAATGGCTTCAAACAAAAAAAGAGGAGATTTAAACCATATATAAGGAATAAGGGTAGTGAAGCACTGAACAAGTTATGCGGAGGTAGTAAATAACTGAAGACATCAAAGGCCAGGCTGTTTAGGCCTCTGAGCAACCTGATGTAGCATTAGATGTCCTTGTTCACTGTAGGGGAATTGGACTAGGTGACCGTTAAGTATCCCTTCCAACTCAAATGATTGTGATTTTTTTTTTTTTAATTATTATTATTATTATTTTACCCTGTAATTTTTATATAAGTAAGTTAGCACTATGGCTTTTGAAACACTGCGTGAAATAATTGCTGTGAAGATGTATGCTTTTTGTTTGGAAGAGCTTAAAATAACCATATTGCCCTGTGTTCTAAAGATCCAGTGTTTGAAGTCAAAGCACTGAAGCTATTAGACATTAGAAAATATTGGTAGGTTTTATAACTCCCTGAACCGTCCTCTACAAATGGATATCACTTGTTTCACTGGCAACTGAATTTCTACTCTTTCAGATCCTCTTGACTGCTAGGCTCCTGGTAAAGCCTACATGGTGTGTTCTCTGAAGCAAGGAAGTCCAAGTCAATTGTTCACTTATGTTATTTTAAGTTTGTGCCAGGATACAATTATTAGGAAACTAGAGCCATGATTCCCTAAAGAATGGCTTTGGTTCAAGCAGTTCAGATGTACGGCACGCAATCATTACCCATTATTAGCTTGTACTTAGTTTTCAAGGGACTGTATAGAAACGAGAAGGCTAAAAGGGGTTTGTGGTTGTCATAACCATATATCCAGGTTGGGCTACTCTAGGTAAAAACAAATTGCAAGAAACTGAACCTGACTTCTGAGACCCTGGAAGATAAAGACTACTGTAAAAGAAGGATTTTCAAGTCTTGAGTAAGTGCCCAAAGTCTTTCAAAGCTCAATAATTTGTATTTCATTGACAGTCTTCTACAGAAAGCTGATTTTAGTAGAATTGACTTTGTGGTCATCTGTTAATCTTTATGTTGCAGAGTCTCTGAAGAAAACATGTTTCGGAGGGATATTTTGAAGGCCTAATTAACATTATCTTTGTATTACTCCCAATTGTAGCTGTAATTGCTCAGGAATACTTGGGCTGTAGTGTAGTTCATTTATTCTGCTATGCTAAGAAATAGGATCCAGCTCTGAAATGTTCTAAGTCAGCAGGTGTTGAAGGCATTAGTGCCTGTTGGACAACTTAAACTTCTAATTTAAAGTCTTTGTGTGCTTTTTTTTTTCTTTTAATTTTTAGGTTACCCAGGGATAGTTCACTTGCACCCCACTCGCTTCTCAGGGATAGAACATAACTTTGAGGTTCGGAGGTGTTTTCTGCTTACCAGCTTGGCTAACAACTAGTTTGCTTTGCTGCAGGCTAGCTTTACCTATTTAATTCCCATGCTGAAGAAAGATGGGATGGGTGGCAGAGTAGAATAAGGTTGGTGTTTCTCTGTCTGGAGAAAAATACTGTTGTTTTTTTTTTCTTATGTCTTTAGGTGTGCCCACAATTTGAAACAACTAAGTCATTGGTTTTGAGAGTGTGTCAGAAGAAGCAACATGGTTCTCACAAGCTTCAGAATCAGGATGTCAGCTATGGTTTGCTTCATGCAGAGACAGCTTGTCGAAGATCTGTGGCCTGCAAATTTCTTCCCTTAATTTTTGAGAATTCAGAAGTATGTTCAGTCCACTCCACAGATATGCTGAGTCATGAAGGAAAGAACATACAGCATTCTCACAGCCAGTGCAAGAAAGGGATAGGATCAAAAGCTAATATCCAGGTGAATGGTTCTGAGAACTGTAGTGAAACACTATCGTTACCTATTTCTCAGCCTGTAGGGCCAGAAGTCTTCAGTCCACTAGATACGGGGATGCCACAGTTGCCTTCTTTAAGGAACTGTACATGCAGCAGTGCTCTGCCACAAATCAGTAGTCATGCTGAGTGGGTGTCCAGTGTCCACTGTGGGAGGGAGCAATTGGCAGGAACACTAGTTATGGATACTCCTGAGCGTGAGTATGGAATAAAGGTTACCTGGAGGCATCGGCCTCATCTCCTTAAGTACCTGAGAGACAGGGGGAAGCTGAGTACTGCTGACATACTGGTGAAGGCAGACCTCGAACTCTAGAAGTCAGGGTGCCTTTTGATTGGCAAAACAGTAATTTCATGCACAAGGACATGCCTAAATACAAAATGCTCTTTTCAAGGATAAAGAGGGACAATAGCTTAAGCCGTACATTGTGCTGGGGCATGCTAATTCTATTGAGGAGTCACAGCTACGCGTAGGGTGCGCCCTGTTCTCGGGGGGCGAGTGGCGCGATTTTTTTTTTTTTTTTTGGACTGAGCTTCCTTGCAGAGGGTGGGGGAGGGCAGTAAGTGCAACGGGCCTTTCCACCCACGCAGCTCCTGCGATCCAGAGCTTAGTGGCCTGCGCGACCAGGACAACAGACGGGATTGGGGGGAGGAGGCGGGGCTCGGCGCTGACCTGGCTGACACATCTGCGCATGTGCGGTTCGAGTTCTTGCCAGCTGAGGGGGCGCAGCCGCCAGTCGTGGTGCGGTGTGCTGTGCCTTCGGCCAATGGCGCAGAGCTTGAGTTACGAGTTCCGTCGCCAAGGGTAGTGGCGAGGGCGAGGCAGGGTGCGTCGGCCGAGGTCCTATAGTTAAAGGAGGGACTGAGGATGGAAGGCGCGCGGAGCCGATGCGCGTTTAGTGCGGGCAGGTGAGTGGGGTCCAGCGGGGCAAGGTGGGCACGAAGCGGTCTGCGACGCGCCCCGTCTCAGGTTGACCCTGCGTCTCTGTGGGGTCGGCCCGATGCGGTAAGTGCGATGCGAT